TCCGATAGTTCCAGTGGTAAATAATATGAAATAAAAAGTTCAGAAATAAGCAATCATGTCACTTGTCCACGAAAGTACAGATGAATTTAAATAAATACAACCACATGGATATGTCTCAACAAGCACGAAAGACTTCTTAAGTAAAGATCATAAAAACAGAACAGGAATCGAACCTGCATCTTTCAATAACCGGTCAGACTTTGATGAAGTTAAATATTCTTGAACTCTTTTGATGATGTGTTACATATGATACCTAAAAGAAGATGAAGAAGATCTTTGATTTCACTTGTCCAGGATCAGAGTACATATCAGATATGTCTGGTTTATCCATAGTGATATGCTTCAAACAACACGAAAGATTATTCCAACTGAAATCAGATCATTAGTCAAAGCTAATTTCCTCGATGATCGGTCAACAGTTGTACTACTGGAACTATCGGATTGTCTCGCTAATTTTAAAAGAGATGACATATCGATTCAATAAACATTCTACATGCAGTTCTGGTATAACAAAGATTCGCTCATTGCCAGAAGCCTAAAAGCGATAGAATATTTCTGAACACATAATTAGTGAGTATACATTCAAAATAACTATTTTTGATATTATTAGAACGTGCTTTACCACAAGAAAAATGGAGAGACATTTGTCCAGTACTTTTGTATCGTAGATTATATAAAAAAGTTATAAAGTACCTTGGGGTAATTATGGCCAGTCAACGTGTACCCTTGGGGTAATTATGGCCAGTCAACGTGTACCCTTGGGGTAATTATGGTCAATACACTAAAAATGGCTGTGATAATCTTAAGTTAATTTAGTTTCAACGGAAGATTTCAAGTAAAATAATTAAAAATTATATCATCGTGTAGATTGATTTGAATTTCAAGCTCTATTACCTGTATGAATTGCATGCTATTTGGACTGACCGTTAATTAATTAATTAGAAATTACGAGAATGTGTGTTTTTCGAAAAAAAAGTCACTTCGGATAATTATGGTCACCCAGTTATTTTTCATGGGGTAATTATAGTCAGTCCGTATAATTTGCACGGAAAAGTTAGAGTTGAAATGCCACCGGCTTCCCGAGACCGATTTTACATCAATGACAAATACAGAAGTTATAGGTGAGATTGTTCTCTATTATATGAAGTGAAAACTGGAACAAGATCGCATTGGTCTAGCGATTTGTAGCCGTTTGATGACCTTTGCTGCATTTTAGCACATTTTTGTATCTGATTTTTGACAGTCCAATTAAGGTGGTACCTGTAATAACTGTAGAATTAAAAATGTGTACAGGTTTTCATATTCTCCAGATACTCCTCTATCTCTTGAGTAAAAGAAAAATTTCAAAACATAGATTTTTACCCGAGTTGTGCAGTATTTAATTTAATGACTTAAAGATCCCGTCATGAAATTGAGATCGCTTTTAGGAAAGAATGAAGTGAATTGAAAAAATTTTACCTAAAAGTCATTGAGTATATTCCAGTACAGAATATATATGTGTATGACACATATTATATCTCGTGTCAACTGTTTTGAATACAGTTAGCAAATTTTCTAAAGAGAAATAAGTAGCGTTTGAAATTTACAATGGAAATGGTTATACAACATCAGTATTTCCATTGCGTCCTCGAGCAGCAATTCGTAATGCTCTTCGGTCCATGCGTCCACCAGTCATTGAACAGCCACCAATTACGAAAATAAATCTTGATGGTCAAGCAGGACAGCTTTTAACAGGTGGAGAAGCATAGAGTAAAACCGGTTCAGAAAAGCACTTCATTGGAACAAAAACAAAATTCAAAAGCAAAGAAACTGTGCACAATGGAAGATGGTAACTGATATCTGAGGAACAATGAATTATTTCTTCTATTCAGATACAGATATTGTAAATGATGACCACTAGCCATGAAGCGCCTATGTGAAGAAAAAGAAATGGTAAAGTACTATCTTTCACGATGTTCTTTGGCCTATTAAGAGCTCTATTTCTTTTTTTTCTTCTCTTTCTGCTCTATTTTCTTTCCCGTTTCTTGTTTTTATTAGAAGTGAAATGAGAGTCACAAATCATATTTTCAGTTTGGCGCGTTGCGATCGGCTTCTTATGATAAAAGGCTCATATCTCATGAACGCATGATGGGAGACAGCTCGAGAATGTCTCATTTGAAAGAAAATTACCTATTATATCGTGGAGAAGTGTTGAAAATAAGTTTTAAAATTTCGGTTCTTCAGAGATCTTCTGGAAAACCGTTTTTTGAGATCTCAGAAAGCTCTGATGTGCGGACATTGAAATTTCTAGGGTAAGTAATACACACTAAACTGACTTTCTGGTATAATTTTCATGAAAAGAAAGTGCGGACTATTTGACAAAATCGAGGACGAACTCGGGGAATTTCGCTGCTCCCAGGATCTTGTAAGCCAAATACTTCGATAATTATAAAGGAATACAAAGCTCAGCTATGTGTCATTTGAACAAGTATGCGCTTCGATATATTTCACACATGGAAAATTCGGAATTTCCGTGCTTTTCAACAATTTTATAGTTATTCTAAAAATGCATGGAAGAAAAAATCCCTTTTGGACATATTTTGCAAAATTTGCCACCGGGCCACTTGTTTAGCTACAACTTTGGCACTTATGATATTTAGGTAACTTTTTAAGCTCTATCGAATGGCTAATCAAAGTTTCTTGAAAAGGTCTCGTTTAGGAAAAATCGATCTAGTCCTTTTGCTAAAACCGTCTTTTGCGATTCTGTTCCAGCCACTTTCAGCACACTTTCTACACAATTCGACACGGGCCACAAAACCAGCATAGTGAGATCTGAGCGGCTCAAAGTCGATGTAAATGTGGGCGGAGCAGAATGGAAATAGCTACTCAGAATCCAAAAATGTCGAATACAGCGGATACTACATGGAAACGACATCAAATATGGTTGATTTATTTGACTTTATTACATTATTAATTGGCTCATATTCTTAACCAGTCGTCAGATATCTAGACGACCTACTAAAGAACGGACCACTTGATTAAGAAAATGCTTAAATTCTCTGCTCGAGGCACAGTCTTGCAGGCACAAGGTGGGCAAAAAAAAGTTTTGAATCGAGAACAGTATTATTCTATTAGGTATTTAGGGCTTGGAGCGCCGACTAGTTGTGTGAAAGAGAGCAATGTCAAAGATCTATGTAAAAAACTAACGAAACAACTGGTGTTACTGGTGAATCTAGTCGTTATTAAAATTTTATTACAGGTGTATGTTCAACTAGTTAGATATCAGGTAAACACTTGAAAAGCTCAAGAAAATGCAAACAACATCAAAAAAAATAGTAATGTCGCGGAAATGTCGTGATTTGCCTACTCAGAGACTAGCAGTAAATGATGTGACAGATCCCTTTTAGAGATAGAAAAAGGAATGTGGTGATGGATCTCCAGCATACGATTATAGAATAGTTTGTTTCGTAATATGTGGAAAGCTGAATGTGTTCGTATTCTACAAAACAATAACTGAGACCTATTATTTGAGTTGGCAATATAACAAAGGAGGAAGCCAATCTTTAGCTAAATCTGTCCACAGTGTTTTTAAGTTACTTTCAATCGGAGTTTATAGAGAAAATACTTGTGCACAGTTTTCGGTATAGACGAACGGTATAGAAAAATTATACTTGAAAATTTCTATGATATCCCAGGTCGAACGATACGGTTCATATACGAACGGTCTACTGGACGTAGGAATACGGACCGTAACATCATTAAAATAGGGCCGTATACGACCGTATTTTCACAATATACGGCCCGTAAATGGTACCGATCGACCTGGGATTCTAAACGAACTAAGTCTAAACATCAAATGAAGGCCAATGTGTTGGTCCAGTTCCATGTTGTTTGAAGAATCGCCGAAAAGTGAAAAAATTAATGTTCTTGCTTTATTCAATAAATAGAACAAACAGTTTCTTTTCTCTTTTTATAAAACATGCGACATCAACAATTCTTTCATTAAAATTAGTCGTAACTTCATTAGTAAGACAAAATATGCAGTAGTGTGATACAAAATACACTTCTTCAATACGATGACGAGTAGAGACACAGACACTGTTAATCAATCAAAGTTTAATTGATTAAACGAAATGATGTTTAGAGAGGTGAAGAATGAAACACGTTGAATGCAACCGCATAAAACTATAAAAGATTCTATGGTAACATATCTTTTAGACAAAAACTCAGCATTCCAATCTTCTATAGATTAGAACTTTCACTTATCTGTTCTTAACACCATATCGTATGCTTCAAAATATATGAGATCATTCTATACGATTGTTTTGAATTGAACATTCGATATACTATCAGATATTGGAATAGTTCATGTCTTTGAAGGACTCGTCCTCATGCTCCTCTAAAAGATCAAACGTGTCCGCAGTCTTATAGACAAAACTAGAATATTAAACAACAAAAATCACAAATAACATTTGTTTTGCCTTGACAATAGTACACAATTATTATAAAAAGAAAACCATGCATAGATCGATGAAGATTTTTTTGATCATCTTATCAACTGTATCCGTATAGATAATGGAACAAAATACATAAATAAATAATATCAAAAACAAAAATGACTCATCAAAACAAAAAGTATGAAATACTCTCATCCTATATTACAACAGTAAACGTTAAATAAAACAACACAAAAGAAGAGAAAAAAAGAAATGCACTATCATTTTCAGCATGTTGAAGACAGAAAGCATTTGAACTAAATGTCGTATACATCCACAATTTGAATTACAAAGTAAGTCAACTGTGTAGCGAAAAGTGGCACGCATCATAGGTTAATAACATTGGTATTACAATTCTAATATTTTGTAAGACAGAGAAACAGAGCAGTAAAAATTCCTATATGAGAGAAAAGTCAGACGAAGAACACGACATTGATATTGACAATTAATATTAGTAAACAGAACATAAGTAACATAGACAACATATGTTTGCGCTCGGATTTATTCTGACATTTTGACAATATTCTACGATAACAAACGTACTTTATCATCAATATAATACAAATTTAAATGTAATTGCCACGGTTTTGGACAATAATTTGCATCGATTTGTATTTCGTATGATTTTGATGTACGACGATTTAATAGTTGAATTTTACCTTTATCGCAGTTAATTACTAAATCAACAGTATCTTGTTCACATAAATCACCATCGTACGATTCATACGAATCATCATGACGTTGACCGTTAAGATAGACGCATAGTTTCGATGCTGCCCAACCATAAGCAGTAGGCGAATGAAATGAATCCAACTGCATTTGAGTTTGTGTACTAAAAATACAGATAAAATTATATACTCTAAACAATAATAAGTGTCATCTTACCTTGATATAATACCGATAAATATCCAATAATTACTTCTCATTTTTTCAATTTTTAATTGAACACGATGTATACCATACGAATATAATTTTTCACCACGTATTTCTGAATGTGATGATCCATTCCCATCGTGTATGACTGATTTTCCATCGTCTTCAATTTTAACACCGCCAAATATTTTTGAAAATTTTTCCAGTGTTATTTGCTCTTGTTCAAAACCTAATTGTCGAATCAATTTTCTAGAAATAAAGTTTATAATAACATTATTTATGAAAATAAAACAAGAATAGATAGTAGTCAACAAATAGCTGATCCAAAAAATGAAAGCAACAGCTCTCTAATATTGATATTCATATACGACAATTCTTTATATCCCACAAAAATAGTTTTAAAATAGGAAAATCTAGAAAAGATACTAATTTTCTAGTAGTAATTTTAATCTCTTCAACTTAACGTCTTCATTCAATATTTGAAAGGAGAGAAGTAAACAATTAAACTATGATTTTAGTCTTTCGAATATTTATAAATATGGTAACACCCACCAACGGTTTCAAATTAAAATCTGATATAGTCAATGGATGGAGTTGATTGAGTAGATGATACCAGTATCGAATAATATTCCAGTAGAAACTTGACAATAGCTACTAATATCGTCATCAAATTTCACACTTATAACTAAAGTACTACCGCACTTACAATTCTACTAAAGAAATATTTCACTGATAATATCCGTCAATAAAGAGTAAAGAGACATATTCAGAAGTAGTTATTAGCTCATTACAAATAGCTCATTACAATTAGCTCGTACAAATATCCATGCTCTCTATTGGTGGATATTCATAATCGTATTCATTTGACTATTTATAACGTTAGTATAACCAACTCGACAAACTTCATCCATTAACTGCATCCTAGAGATCTGACAAACGGTGAACTTTTTGCATTTCTCCTCCATTATTCTTCTTGCTGGTGAAAAAAGTAGATGAATATCATTATTAAAGAGCTACGTCGATGTGTAGCTGAGCGAAAAACAAATTGTTCTTACTAGATGAAGATTACGGTTTTTGTCCCGTTTGTCTGATTCTAGAAGAATGAAGATTCTCACACATCCTTCGACTACAATTTTAATGAAAATGAGCGTATGTAAGTTTAAGTGAAAAGAGGTCATCGAAAAATCTGTAATGTATGGATCTTACGTGAACTGAACCTCTAAACCAAGAGGCATATCAAAGATAATTTTATCTTTTCCATGCACGAGTTGTTTACCGTTCCATTCACGTAATTGATTTAACAGCAATCGAAACAATTGTGGATCATAATCTAAAAATACCTAAACACAAACAAACAAGTAAAGACGAGGCTAATTGGAATAGTCATCTAGCAAACTGACGTACGTGTCCATCTTTATTTTTTAAAATTTTTTCTTCCCACTTCCCACTGAATTGCATTGCCAACACGGTATTTGGTGTTTGTATTAGTGTTGAGCGTAATGTACACATTTTTTCGCCGCCCACATTCAAATATATGATATCATTATCACAGACTTCAAATTTTTTCATCTGTTGCAATTCATTTTCATATTTTGAACGTTCACGATCAAACACTTTTTTTTCTTTTAGAAATGATGCTTTATCCGCATCATGTTGCTGTTTTTCGGCCTCGAAATGTTCAACAACGATTTGGAATTGATCTCGAACTAAATTCATTTGATTTTGTAATAATACAATCGATTCACTCAAATTTGAAGCCATTTAATCAGTGCAGTAAAACAAAACAATCTGGAAAAAAAATAAAAGCAATAGAGTGAACGCTTCAAATATGACTAAAACTTGACGATGGCGTTTTCTCTACGAAACAGTATATAAATTAATATATTTCAATTATCAGTAACTTTTACTTCTTCTGTCAGAACGATCTCTTAGAAAGGATCGAACGGCTATTGGCGAAAAGTATTTCCATTCGAATATTCTTGAATGTTCTTGTTATTGAGGAAAGTAATGGATTCAATCTCTCAAATTATTTTGTGATAAGTGACGAATAATAATTATTTCAGTATATATCAAAATCATATTCTCAATATACTTTTAGTTTTATTTATGAGTTTATGGTGAATTGTACACTGTATAATAGAAACTGAACTATAGATGTCGCACACTTCACTACTGATTCACTCTTGAACTGGTGTTGGTGCATGTGCTGTGACAGTGCTATTGAAATCCATTCCACGGGATTGCAGGACGTGGAATGACATATATTTCGCATGTACTAGATGTGGGCTATTAGAAAAACAGATTTTCGTCAAGAGCCAGAACAGATACTTTTCCAGCGAAAATCCCACAGAATTTTCGTCTGTTTCAAGGGTTCTGGCCTTTGACGAAAATCTGTTTTTCTAATAGCCCACATCTAGTACGTACGAAATATATGTCATTCCGCGTCCTGCAATCCCGTAGAATGGTGCAGCACGTACTCAAATTTTGAAAAACGAGGAAAATCGGCTTTAAAAGCTGTTTTTTCGGAAATTAAACGTTTTCTATTCGCAATGCAAACCACTTCACTGAATAGAACGTGAAAAAGGCGCGTCGAATGCATATCTTGTGGTCTTTTGTTGATATGATTTTATGGGGGAAAAGTAGTTTACAAAAACGGCCTACTTTTCGGAAAAAACGAGATTTTTAAATATTTTCCTGAGAATGTGTTCAACATTTTGGAAGTTTTTCTCCGCTAGTGATTTTGTAACTCTGCACAATGTGCAGTGCACATATAGAAGTTAATCTGACGGTACCAGCACATGAAAACGTTTCACTAAAAAATGGTGAAAATGCCCACGAAAGGACAGTTCTGCTGGGAAATGGGATTTCCACAGGTCTAGAAGGCCACCATGCCATTGTTTTAAAATTTTTTAAACGTGATATTCGTCACCAGCAGGCCGAGTTGTACTAGTCCTTTTATTCCCAAACAACGCGGACAAAGTTGATGTAAACGTGGTACGTTCTCGAAAGAACCACCCTGTTGTGATGTATTAGGTATACACGGAATCATTCTGTTTGATATAACATGTGCCTCTCTGTAACTAAAATACTCTTTTTGAGTAGAAGTGCATTTTATGTGATTAAATGAGCAAACTGCCCATCAAAATCGCTTAATTTTTGCCGATTTTGACGTAAAATTGTGATTAACCGTGACAAATCGGCGATAGTTTGTGCTTGTTGTCACAGAAACACAGCAGAAAAATCGCGATTAATCACAATTTTACGTCAAAATCGACAAAAGTTAGGCGATTTTGACGTCATGGGATAATTGCAACACGTTTGTCATCATATTTGAAGATTTCTATGTATATGTTTTATTCCTATGATCATTGAAATGAAACGAATTAACGAAAAAGTTAGATAGAGAATATTGCTGTCTAAGAGATGGCTAAACATGATTATCGATGCATTCGAAATTTGGCTTACTCTTTATAGCATTGAAAATGTGTTTGATTGCAATCATAATACTGAAGTTAAGTTTTCTAGAAAAATACCGATATGTAATAATAAATAAGTTGAAACTTTTTAGCGATTATTTCATAAGCATTGGTTCCATTTGGTGCTCTTGAGTCACACGATTTCTGTTGACATTCTATTAACAGTAAATTTGAGAAAATTATCATAATATTCTCTTCGAACATATCATCGCGAGTAATCATTTCATCTATTAATGTGATTTTTCAAGATTATGCCATCGCTGCTTGAACTGTTTTTATTCCTGTGAGTCAGATACTTAATCTGGTACAAATCCGATAATATTCTTATCAGAATCCTATAGGTAAACTTTTTTTTATACAAAATTAGATTATTATGTATTGAAAGCAAGCACAGTATATAACAAAGTCAAATACTCTTCGGATAGACATGTGAAAAAAGTGTATATGGGTAAGATATATAGCAGTGGTGTTGGTTGAACGAAGACATTTGAGGAACAGTCATATTAAAATTAGGCGATTATTACAATCCATCAACATATCAATTTGGAATCGAACAGTCAATTTTGATCTTTCAAATGAAGTTGGTAAGATAATCTTTTATCTGAGTATGATGAAATTGAAACCATAGACTATTTTAGCATGTATTGCTCAAATTACCAAATTGAGAGAGATTTGCTTTTTCAAAAAGTAAAAAATTGACTTCCAAGTCACGTTGTCTATTTTCACATTTCCATTTATTTTCGAAAGAAAACATTTTCTAGAATAAATCTGACCAAAACGTTTTCTTCTGTCAATTGCACATACTAGCAGCATCACTTTTGTTTTTGAACAGGTATAAACTAAATAGTTGTAAAGTCGTATCTTTTCATGTGTTCAATTCATCATTTCTTTTTCTCTTTTTTTATACCCTACACTATTATATTCATTTTTTCATTTTATCAATTGTTTTATATTGTAATACCAAAATGAATAGTTTCTGTATCAGTTTTATAATACACACTGTATCAATTTTCATCACAAACATTTTTTGGCTTTCTTGTTCGATTTTGTTAGTCTTTGCATATTTAATAATAACAAAAAAGTTTTTCCAAAAACAGCTTTTTTCTTTTCTCCACAGAAAATATCGAATAAAGTCGTTCCTCATTGAAGGCAACACTTAAAGCTACGCAAAAAAGTTCTTAATTTTCTGTATGACTAAGTATACTTTCTTCTCATCATCCATTTTGTGTTCCAATCTATGACAAAACTGAGTAAAAATTGAAAAACAGCATAAGTAAGTCAAATCAAGACAGATGAGACACGTTCGGTCTGATTAAAAAGACACGGATCATGGACGTGGTTATAATAATACAACGAAATAATCTCTAGTCAAAAAATCCTATGATTGGTTTTTTGATAATGACACAATTTAAGAGAGGAAAAGAGAGAAAGGGCAAAGATAAAAACCTACACGATAGTTCTCTCTATGTACAAATTTACAGGCGTATAAGATTGGCATTATACAAGAAAATATTTTTCAGTTTTCTTCGCATCGAACTAAATAATGATCGTGACAGAGCGCTCGTCCGATCGTTCGAGAGACATTTTTTCTATTGAAATATTCAATTAATGACACTTATCAAATATACGATTAGAGAACACAGGGGCGCCCCGATAAGGGGAGGGGTCCCCCCCTGCTTTTTGAAAAAATTTACTCCGAAAATTAGCCCTTTGACTTACGAGAATATCCTAAGGAGTAACACGCTTACTTGTATTTTCAGAGTAAGACAATTATTCTCATTTTTAGAGTATAAAAGGCACAGTGGGCATCCAGGCGGACATTAGGTGAAAAATCGAAAGTAAAGATTTTAATATTTCGGTTGTTGACAAGTATACTTCCATAATGGGGCCATCTAATCGTGTATGAATGGTTGCTAAAACCTGA